ATCTTTATGTGGTCCATTTAATGTTTATGACTTCCAGTTTTCTTGGATTCATACTTTTACATTCCATGTTCTAATTATTAATGGATGTTTTGCAATGATTTTCTTGTTTTAAATTATACTCCATCAGCACATGAAGATGTTAAAAACTTTGCTACATTCACATCATTATGGTTAACTCTACTTTGAGGAGGGAGCTCTTCCCATTTGTGGTTTTAATGCCTTCTACCTGAGGGGCTCACCTTTTGAAACTGTATCACACAATATTTTGCTGCTATTCATAAGATTTTCAGTGGTTAATCCTCTAGAACTTGACTGCCTATTTATTCTTCCTACTTTTCTTAATCTGGAAGCTTTTCTGAAACCTGTCCAGCAGAAATGACCTTACTGGTATTTGAAATACCAATGACAGAATATCCAGCATCACAGCAGTACTCAAGCCACCACAGTAAGGCAAACTTGTAGATGAGTGGTGACAATTGGTAAATGGATCTGGATAAATTAAACCAGAATGAAACTTGGTAAGACAAGGGGATATAAAATATAAAAGAGAAATTTAAAAAAATACTTCAATAATTGAATGAAGTTCTAATATACATCTAATCAGAGTTTCAGAAGGGCAGACTGTAACAAATGGAGGAGAGATACTATGCAAAGAGAGTAGGTAAACACTTTCCTAAACACTTTCCTAAAATTGAAAGACAGGATTCCACAGAAATAGAATAAAAAGAAATCTACATGCCAAAAAATATACCTGATGAATTCTGCAGTCAATCCATAACACCAAATGTAAAAAGAAGATTTAAAAAATAGAAAGGGGGGATAAAGGAAAGCAAAAAGACATGTCATGTACAGAGAAGCAATTAAACTGACGTTATTTGGAATAAAGATGATCAATCACTCCATGATAGAAAAATATACTTGAATTTTCCTATATAAATAACTTGATAATACTTGAAATCATACTTGAAAATACTTGAATTATCCTAATAAAATAACCTCAGGACATATTAAGCAAAAATTTGAAATTTGATAAGACCAATATTAGTGTAGATGATTTAAACACACTTCTCAACTATTGATAGGGCAGTTGGACAAACCTAACAACAACAATAAGAAATTTGGGGAAAAACTGATGTAATGATAAGAAGTAAAACTCTGCACACAGTAATTATGGAACACATATTCTTTTCAAGCAGAAATGGAACATTTACAGAAGTTGTCCATATATAAGACATGAAGCAAGGTCACAAAAAAGTTCAGAAATAGGAATTAATTTATCAGAAGTATCTCTGACCACATGCAATGAAGTTTAAAATTAGTCACATGAATATCAACTAAAACTCAGACACATTAATATAGACATTTAGAAATAAAGCAGTACATTTATGCATTTCTCATAGGTCAAGAAGAAATCATATGTAAATGAAAAACACTCAGAACCACACCTTTAAGAAACTAGTACACATTAGTAGTGCACCACAAAGATAGTACTTTGAGGGAAATGTGTAATTTTTTTTCTCTTGTGGGGTTAGGAATGAGGAATTTGAATTAGGACATGGCTAGGTCTAGGCTAGAGCTTCATGTAGTGTTAGGGTTATGGCTCGGACCAGGATTAGTGTTAGGGGTAGGGATTGAGTTAGGGCTAGGAGTAGGGCTTGATCTAGTTTTAGGGTTACAGTTAG